ATACTTGTGTGCACTGGGGTCCAGAAGGAGCAAAGCCCGAGCCTACCCCTGTATGTTCAGTTTAATCTGAGGAGACACTTTGACACTGGGTAAGGGGGAGGGGTGGCTGTTGGAGTCTAGAGAGGGAGGGTCAAGCAGGGCTGCATTTCCCCGTGCTGTCCATCCCTCTGCCACCCAGGCTCTCCTCCAGTGACACCACAGACCCGCCTCACTTCTGTGCAGCTGATGCCCTGTCCAGGCAGATATTGTCCCAGCTGACAGTGAGCGTTCTTGCCAAATGCCAGGGCCATGGTCACATCTGCTTGTCTTTCTCTGCAGCTTGTCCCAGGCTGCTTGGGAACACATTGTATCCAGGGGGCAGCTTTCGCAAGGCCTGATGCTCTGAAAAGACTCTAAACGCGTGCCGTAAAGAGACAAGCTCCCGTTGTCTTGGCTTTACTGTTATTGTGTTTGACGTGGCCTGACTCGGTCCTGTCAGCCCCTGTCAAAGCCGCGCTGTCCGGCAAGGGGCTTCTCTTGTAGGCTTTGTCGTGGCTTTGTGTGATTACTTTTTCTTTCCTCCAGATGATAAGATGTCCCGTCTCCTACAGTCACCCGTCTGAAAGGCTTGCTTACAGGAAACAATGGGGATAATTCAGGTGCAGTCTGTTTAAGCACCAAAACCAAACTAAGAGGCTTCTGGGTTCTGGCTTTCTTATGTTTAATAAAATACCTCATGGGAAGCCTCATTTCCAGTCATCCTCAACAGAGAAACCCATCCAAGCAGATGGATTTCTTTGTCCTTTCCACTTAGAATGACAGGAGCTGTGGTCAAGACTGCAGCCTCGACTCATCCCGGGACCCCAGATTCTGACTGGGGCACTGGGCAAAGCCTTGAGCCGCCCTTCATCCCCTCCCTCTCTTCCCTTCACAGGCAACTTCGGTAGCTAACACAGATGCACTCATCTAGACATTGGCGATTTGTCTACAGGGCCTTACAAAAGGGTCTTACAATTACGAAAACCTTAGATGTGTTCATGGGATATTTTATTGTTCTTAAGACACCTGGTGCCCTCCCACCCCCGAAGAATCGAGCTCTCAGTGCTATGCTTTGCAGAGACAGATGGCCAAGTAGACTGAAGACACGGGCTGCCTTTGAAACATTCATTGACTTTAAATTAAAATCGTAACTGCTGTGTTAACAGACCTAGCTGTTCGTAGCTGCCCCACTCCCTGTGTCTGAAATGAGGTGGGAGAGGGGCCAGCCTGTGCTCTTGCTGATCAGTAGCCCAGATCCCCCCACATGCAGGGCCCTCATTTTCTGTTGAACTTTCTGGAGTTCACGGGCTTTTTCCTTCTGCTTCGGATTGCCTCTGACTGTGGTCTCCATGCATGGTTATTTCCCCTGTTATGAGCCTGTACGGGGTGGGCTGGAGAATTGGATGAAGATGGTACTGTTTGCTTGGTAAACATTCCCAAACGTTTTAGAAGAGGGTGGTGTTCTTGGAGTCTGTCTCCCACAGTTTTGTAAGTGGGCCTTGCTAATAAATTTTGAATAGTGTGAGAAATGAAGTTGTAAAGACAAAATGGACTTGGGAGTACTTTCCAAGCATTTAAATACTTGAGTTGTGAACACCTACCTACTGCAAGAACAGTGTTGGGTAGAAGTCAGGGTAGACAGGTACGATGTTTGCTGTACATGGCTGAGGAACTGAGTTAATGTTCTGAACACCCACATTAGAAGCCAGGCATGATGTTTCGGGTCTGTAGCCCCTGTGCCTGGAGAGGAAGGCAGATTCTCAGTACTCAGTGGCCCCTAGTGTAGCTGTAACAGTAAACACTAGGCTCCCTGAGAGGCCTTGTCTCAAAGGATAAAGTGGAGAGTGATAGTAACACCAGATGTTGACTTCTAGCTTCCTCGCACATGCACCGGCAAATATAGACACACACACACACACACACACACACACACACACACACACACACACACACACACACAGCAAACACACCGGCAAATATAGACACACACATACACCATACACACACACACACACACACACACACACACACGCACGCACGCACGCACGCACGCAGAGAGAAGAGAGAGTGAGAACGAGAGAGAGAGAACATTTCCATCATTTTCTTGTTTTTAGAATGGTCTCTTCATTTATATTTTTAGGTACTCCTGTACCATAGCTGAGTTGTCTGGTGTAGACTCTAGAGAAGGTAAACCTGATCCTAGGCTTTGGGAAAGAGAACCGAGTGGGCTAACGTATGTGAAAGCGGGCCTAGGAAAGAGCTCAGTTGGTGAAACGATTTAATGTGTGAGCATAAGGAAGAGCCTGAGTTTCATCACCCAGACATAACAGCAGTGCATGGAGGCTTGTGCCTGCGACCCCAGTGCTCCGGAGGCTGAGATAGGCAGCTCCTGGGCTCTGACCAGCCGCCAGTCTAGCTCAATCAGTGAGCTCCAGGCCGGCAGCAAAAGAGAAGATGGGCACTCTTCTGAGGAACTGCACCTGAGGTGGACTTCTGGCCAGTACACATATGCACACAAGCAGAAAAAGTTAACTCATGACCATCATGAGAATATAAAATGGAAGTGTTGGAATTTGTTGACTTCATTAACTGGGATAAAGCGGCAGCTGTTACTGTGATTTCAGAGGAAAAGCCAGAGAAGCACAGTTGCATGTGGGATAGAGGAAGATCTCTAGTTTACAAGGGAACTTGAAATAGACTTTCCCACAGTCGGCCACTTGGCATTCAAGAACACCACTTCACCTTTCTGTGGACAGGAACTGTTTCTTATGGCTTCTGCTCTGTACACTTGAGAGTTGTAGCATTGTCGTGGTAGAATTAGAATTCAAAAAGTAGGAGATGGCTCAGAGGTTAAGAACACTGGCTGTTCTTCCCGAGGTCCTGAGTTTAGTTCCCAGCAACCACATGGTGGCTCACAACCATCTGTAATGAGATCTGGTGCCCTCTTCTGGCCTGCAGGCAGAACACTGTATACATAATTAATAAATAAATAAATCTTAAAAAAAAAAAAAGAATTCAAAGAGTAGAATCCAAAAGTATAGGTTTTCCATTAAAGAAAATCCTACAAAGGGTGTGCGTGTGTGTGTTTCATTCAAGTGCTTAGGATGGTTGCACAGACTCGATCTAATCTCTACTAGTGTTTAATAGAGCTGTCCCTGCCACCGTCACCATCACTCTTAATTATTTTGTACTAAGAACTGAATGCCCCTTTTTTCTTCATGTCTTCATTTCTTCTTCTCTGACCTCTGTTTTCACCACTTGTATAAAAGCATATGCTAGCCGGGTGGTGGTGGCACACACCTTTAATCCCAGCACTCGGGAGGCAGAGCCAGGCGGATCTCTGTGAGTTCGAGGCCAGCCTGGGCTACCAAGTGAGTTCCAGGAAAAGGCGCAAAGCTATACAGAGAAACCCTGTCTTGAAAAACCAAAAAAAAAAGCATATGCTAAGTTCACAGTGTGTACTAGTAAATGCTGGCTGAATTCATTTTGTACAAAATGAATAGGTCTCTGTGGTTTTCTTACAATGATTAAAATTTTTATATAGTTTTAAAAAATAAATGTGACCAAAAAAATAATGTGACCATAATCATTTATTTTTCTTGAGATCATGAGGCAATATTTCCCTCTTCAATCTAATAAATAATTTATTGTTTTGTATGACAATAACCATTTGAAAGCAAAGCAAAAGTAACTGACTGAACTAATTTTTTAAAACAGAGATTTATTCTATAACAAGGAAACACTATGGACTCAGTACAAAAGGAAAACTAGTAGATGCCTATGTCTTACTAAGCTATGTGGTGGATTTCAGGTTCTTGGTCTGTTTCTGCCCACTGTATTATTTACCTCACTCATCTTGGCTGTACCTATGCTTGAAACAATCCGTTCAAATGTATACAGCAATGGTTTTTTTCATTGTATTTAAACCTACATATATGTATATATAGTATGAATATGTATCACTGTTTTACTTATATCACTTTTTTCATTTCTGAAATATCTGGCTGTTTTCAATTTGGACTGTTTAAAACCTCATGCCACTACCAGATACCTGTATGTAAGAGTCAAAGAGCATGCACTTTAGTAAATACGTTTCATTTATTTCTGCTCTGGTTTTCAACCCCTGTCCCACCCTCACGTCAAGGGTTATGGGCCTGGGAATGAGCGCAGAACCCGTCTGTGGCTTGCCAAGGCCGAAGACTTCTAAATCCTTTCTTTCTTTGCATTAGCCCTTTTGGTTTCTAATTGAGCCATTATTTTTCTAAAACTTTTTTAATCTAGAAGACTAAAATTAAACAGAATTGGATAAATGTAACTGATTCCAAAAATAACAAGGCTCACCCTGAGTTCTTGTATGTCATGGCTTTGCACATTTGTACCTAGGATCCTGTTAGACCACAGGCAGCAGCAGACAGGCGTTCATGCATTCAAATTGTTCTCTCCTGACTAGTAAATAATTAAACAATTCTAATTGTATGAATTATAAGGACAACATCACCATTTCCTTCCATCTATTTAAAATGTTTTAAAAGAATTCACTGCTGCATAATATCTGAAAAGAAATTGATCATACTTTTCCTGTAATAAATGTCGTCCTGACAGTAAAGCATTAGCAACCAATTGATAACCTAGCAACAATATTGTGATCTCTTTAGATAATTAATCTTCGCTATTTTCCTGTCAGAAGCAACAGTGCTTGATTTTATGTTGAGCTAGAAAGATTGCCAGTTTTGAAAATTAAGAAGCATTCCTTTTATATTATTCATCCCAGTAACAATTTATGATGGTGCATTTAGCTGCTGAATGCTTGTCAACAAACGTAATTATGTTTCGATATAAACAAGATTGGTGGTTTTACTATGCAGCTCCATCTTTGGTGAGAATGTTTTGATTTAGGTTCAGATTATACAAGCTGTGTGTTTATGTGTCATTTTCCCCCTCCTTTGTTAATAGTTTTTATTTCTTCTGATAATTACTTGTAGGCAAACAAGCATGCATTTGGGATCCTTGTGCACAGGAGACATCAAAAGGAGAAGAAAAGCTGCCCCTTTGCCTGGACCCACTACAGCAGGTAAAACAAAGCGGGTGGAGCGGAACACAGATTCCAACCACATAAATCACCACGAATAAAACATAGGCGATCGGTAATCACTCTTGCTGCAAGAGAGGCATGGTTGCAAGAAATTGTAACGCAGGTCATTTGCCTTTATGTTAGGATGTATAGTCTGTTCGTTGTGTGGACCTTGTAAGTAGCTTCTCAATGAGACATGTGCTGTGCACACACCCAAATGGGTAAGACGCAGCAAAGATAAAACCCTCCAAAGCTGTGTCTTTGGCTGGCCTGAAGAAATTTCAGACTTGTAAGGGAAGCAGGGGATAGGCAGATGAAATGATGAATGGCTCACTCTCTAAGACAATGTGACGACTAGACCTGAGTGGTAGTCATAGGGCGGTCACTGTGTAACTGCTGAAGCCTGCCTTTCTCATGGCAGTACCCTCAGCATCCTGAGAGTGTACACATCTTGAGGATATATGAAGACCTCCTTTTGCTCTTGTTCCTCCATTTTACTTCCTACCCATCTCTTCCTTTCTGAAATAACCTGCCTGCCCTTCCAGACAGAAGCCGAGGCTTGAATATGGTACATGGCATTGGTACAGTTCAGTAGTATACATATGGCCTTAGCAGCCATGCTCTAATTAGAACTCTCCTGCATACTATGTAAGTGAACTTATAGAATATTGTGAAAATGTTTGTCCTTCTTTTTTTTTTTACATTAAGAGACGATGCCTAGGATATCCCTGGCAAAGGTCAGAGACAAAGCTAGATAGGCCACACGTGTCACAAATACTATCTAGCTATCAAAAGTATCATGTCCCAGAAGAAGAAAGGACTATGGGGTGGGGGGTGGAGTAATAGGAGAGCAGATCCCATCAAAATACATCAAATGCAAAAATAAAGATATTGTAGCAAATCTATTATTTTATACAATTAAGTATACACTAATATAAAATGAATGAAAAAGACCTCTCTATTGCATATACTGACTTGAACCCAATTATGTGTCTGAAATTTATAGAAGATGCATTAGCTATTTCTGCAAAGAAATGTAGAATATTCATGAAATAATTGTAATATATAATATCTATCCATAAGGAAATGCAGCCACATTTTAGGTCAAATAGATGTGATAAGATCTCCTAGTCTCTCCTAAGGCTGGGACAGGATTCCTCAATGTCCCCATTCCCAGTGAACTCTGAGCTCAGTGGCAGAAGCCACAGAAGAACAAGTCCTAGAAATGTTGCTAATGGTCCCATGTAGCCACAGTAACAAAGCAGAAGACTGGGCCAGGCCCTGACATGAAGCACCCATGTGAAGTGGGGAACAGCAGGTGCTTGAAGTAGGGGTTACATAGTTTTTTGTGTAGCAGATTTTGACTTCAGAGCTCAGGGCATCAGAGGAAACCGTTTATGGAGAATTTAGATGTAAACTTTAACCTCAGCCTAAACCAGTCCTTTGTTCATAAGCCTGTGCTAAGCTTGTGCCAGCATATTCCAGATACTGTAGTGCAAGTCTGTTGAGACCTTTTAAGATTTGAGATTTTCATTTTACTACTAGACTTTAGCTTATGAAATAAAATTCACAGGCATTTAATGTGATGGGTTTTGTCATTGTTATTGTTTTGGTTTTTTTGTTTGTTTGTTTTTTGGTTGCTAAAATGGCATGCCACTCATTTTAGTGTATTTTCAAACCTGTGTGCAGTGGTTCCTTTCAGAGAGGAAGATATGCAGGTATTTGGGGCAAGTCCTTAGTTTCAAGAGATCTTGTAACACTAATGCCCCAGACCTGAGTGAAGGTGCTTATCTGGATGCAGTCAGAGAAGCCGTTGCATAAATACACTTGGACGGTGAGGTTAGACATTGGACATCGCCCTGTCCATGAAAATTGCTGTTTTCAAATCTGGAATAGAGTTAGTCAAAGGATACAGAGTCCATTGCATCTATACATTTCCAGACTATACTGGCCTGCAGAATTCCTTTTGAAAAAGTGTTCATGAGGCTGGAGAAATGGCTCAGTGGGTGAGAGCACGCTGTGCAGATACAAGGACCTGAGTTCACATACCCAGCAGCCACCCAAAAGGCTAGAGCCATTCAAGAGTGCCAGTACTCCAGTGCTGCAGGGGACAGAGACGAGAGATTGGTCACGAGGGCTTGGCTAACACCAGCCTCACTCCAGGTTCATGGAACAGGGCCTCATGGCACTAAGGTAGGGAGTAAGAATGGGACACGAATGCCTCCTCTGGCCTATTTGCATATGCACACACATACACACATGTATGTTCTTGCTGTGTTCACAGGTCCTTGCAGACCTTCCAAAAGACACACTTCCCTGAAATACACCTTCATGTTACTTTCTTATAGTCAGCATTGAATCTAAATGAGGAAAATTCAAAAGAAAACTCCTCCTCATATGAAATAGGAAGAATCAAGAGATGAACAGGTGGATATTGCCTGTGATTCTGATTTCTCCATAATTTATTATGAAAACAAATAGCAGATATAGAAAGGACTTAGCAAAAACTTACTGGAAATGTATAATTAGAAACTTTTAATTTGCCATCCCACATTGGATCTGTCTAAGTTGATGGCTCTCAGCATGAACAATTGTCTAATATATTCATGATAAATGGTACTGTCTGTAAGACATTCTGAACCTCGTCTGAAATTAAACCCTAGATGTGACTGTGGTGCCGCTAAAGTGGAGAAAATCCCCCAGTCCTCTGTGCTGAGCAGAATTCAGTCTCTTTAGAAGGCTGCGCCAGCCAGCCATGTGGTATTGGTTGCACATTTATTAATTGTGACAGGAACACTGAATTTATTTCAGTACTTTAGCTTATTTTCTGCTCTTTCACCTTTGTATTCAGTATTGACAATGTAAAATGAATATTGATATGCTTAGATATTGACTTTTTAATGTATGGCTTGTTCTCTGCCTCCTTCAAAGTCATATACCAAAGCCAGTGTGTGTCTCCAGCAAAGGATGTAGATTTACTATTGTAAAATTGAAGAGTACTGAAGCAAGAGCTTGCCAGCAGAGTGCATTTTATAGTCTGAAAAATGTCGTCTGTAAAGGTGAAGAAAAGCAGAGAGCGACAGAGGAAGATCATTGTCACAGTTCTTACAGGCAGTCACCAGTGTTGGCTTTGTCGTAGATATGGTAGAAGTCCTGGATTATGAAGAGTTTGATGGCAAACATTAGATACTTTCGTGGAGATATGGTGCCGACTCTGCTCAGGTGTCTTACACTCTCCCACACTAAGTTTAGTGCTCTTTGCAGTTACTGTTGCTGGGCCGGTTTTGTTTGGTATAACCTAAACCTTTATTACAAATAATAAACACAATAAAAGACCATTATGTCATTTAGGGTTTCATCACTTAAGAAAAGAAACTGCCTTTACATTCTGTTTTCACTTAAACCTAAGTAATTTTCATTGTTTAAAACGTAAGTGCAAGACTGGATAGCACACTCAATGGGTGAGTGTGTGTGAACATTACCAAGGCCCTGTGTTCCATCCCCAGCACCTCAGAGTAAAATTTTAAAAAAAGCAAATAAGTGAAATATATATCGTTAAGCACCCAGTTAGATTGATTTTATTTACATGAAATATATGTGTAATATTGCAGATCAAATAATTGAAGCATTTGATAAACAGTAGTAACACTTGCATGTTCTCACTTCTTGTCCCTAAAGTAGATACCGAGAACATAATTACAACTCACAGTTTTGATAACATAGCTAATAATAGCCCTGACCCTCTGCTGCCTAGCAAAGGGACTGGAAAGAAGGAGGAAGAACTAATAAATGCCTTCAGAATACAGGGCAGGAACAGGACAGGCAAATGCTTGCTGTTATATGGGAGGCAGCCTGTCACCTCCCCTTCCACTGGATGTTGATCCAACATCAATACAACGCTTTAGGAGCCAAATTACTCAACAAGCTGCCAATTAGGCTTTCAGTCAGCTGGATAGATTAGTGGCTAAGAGAGGCCGATGCAAGATTTTCATCTCTTGAGCCAATTATACAAGTGAATTGCCCTCCACCATGCTCTGCTCTGTGGAAGGTCTGAGGGGAGAGGACATACTCTACTTCAGTAGACTCAGGGGACCCAGCAGACAGGCTAGGACCTGGAGCAGGAAGAAGAAGTGAATCAGGCTACATTTGCCATGGCCCCAAGCAGAGAGCATTCTAGGAAAGGACCTAAAAGATGTAGCAGTGCTGGGAGCCAGAGAAAAGGAAATCATGGCTGTGGGGCGGGCTGTGCTAAGTCCAAGTGTTTGACTCCCAGGTTTTCCTCTCACAGAACAAGATTGAGAGAGCAACAGGGTCTTGCCTTCCAGAATCAGTCCATGAAAAATGAAGTGGCCCTTCCTTTTTGTCTTTTCCCACTGGTCCTAGACAGGAACACAGCACATTTAGAAGTCAGTGTCCTTTATTTTTTTTCTTCCAAATACGAGATATTGATTTATTTGATTCTATTTTTATGAAGTAAAAAAATTAATCAGGATTTTAAACACTGAGAAAGACTGAGTTCTTTGCCATTCTATTTTAGAAGTAGAGCCATCACTGGAGGCCTCCATGCTTCTGTACCAGCATTTTAAAATCACAGTTGTACATCGTTTTCACAGCTTCACTTAGGACTCAGTTTGACCATCATGTAGCAATTTCCATAGATGCTTTATATTGGCCTCATTTTTTTTTTTCAATTAAAGCTGAATTTCTTCAATCTTTTGTCCCAAAAATCTGTGTGACCAGATGTGTCACCAAGGGCAGGTCAGACCTCTGACCTGAATTCAGTTTATGCACAGAATTAAATTAACTTGTTGTACTCCCTGAAAAGCTGGAGCTGAGCAAGTGTACTAGCACAGTGTTCACCTGACACCTGCTGGCAGCTCCACAGGCTCAGGGTGGCCACCGCAGTTGCTGGTTTGAAATAAAAACTTTTTTTTTCTATATTTACCAAGACTTTAACCAAATGTTTTTTTTTTTAATTTTTTGTCACTCAAGGGTTCATT